TAGGCTTCAGTTTCCCGCCTTAAGGCCCTTCCGGGCGACAGTCACCTTCCCCTAACCCGCGCCCAGGACTGCTCGGAAACTGCTGTGTCAGAATGGTTCGAGGAGTCAGGAGTCAGAGCCAGCTTTAATTTGGGAGGAATGACTACCAAGGGCCGGCCCGCTAAGATGCAGCGGGACCGGGTGTGGCGCAGCTGTCAGGAGGGCTGATCCCGGTCCCCGCCACCCTCCACCCTGCAGCCCTCCACCCTGCCGCCCGCCTGCTTCTCCCCGTTCCCTTGCGGGGGTGGTGAGCGCACGGGGACCAGCGCGCATGCGCGTTAGCTGGGGAGCGGGCACCTCCTCGCCCCCGCCCCGCCCCCTCTCACGTGCAGCGCAGCGTGCGCCCGGGCATGTGCGGACGCATGTGACAGCTCCGCGTCCGGCTCCGGCTCCCTCACCCCGCGCGGCTGTACTTTGAACCCCGGCGTGGGAGGGAGAAGTGGGGGTGGGGGGAGGAGGGAGGAAGGAAAGCCGGGCGGGGAGGGGATGGGAGCCGCGAGGCCGGCCTCCCCGAGGATGATATCATCGGTAGATTCATCGCTAGGCAACAGGAATGCTTCTCTTTCCAACCCTAGAGCTCCTTGACGATCTCAAGGCTGAGGACATTGTTTCCTCCTTCTCTTCCCCCACCACGCAGTGCTCGAAGGGCGATTTAAGGAGCTAGGGTTGGTTTACGAATTTTTAAATGAGTACGTTTCCAACACAGAGCTCGGAAATAGATCCTTTACCACGCCCACTTGTGTCTGCAGAGCTTTCCAGGGGAGCGGGCATATTGTCAGGTTTCTTCACCTGTTCGGTCATGTGTGGATCACACAGCTACGTTATAGCTCTGCAGATGAGCCTTGTTGAAGATAATATAACTTGAAAACCAAACCCTGCTTAAGGGATCATAGAGAAGCTGGTTTCTTTAAAATGTCGCATTATAGGGACTTTTCTGATTATGTAACTGAGGTCTTCAGGAATTGGATCCAGGCTGAAGTTTCCCTGTTAAAACTAATTTTTGAAACACAGTGCGGAACCTATAAAGCCGCATTTGGAAGCAAAGTTTATTAAAGAGCTGTGTGACGGATACTCAATACCTCCGTTGTGAAGCATTTGATATTTTATGTATACACATGTGCATACCCTTATGTAAAAGGCTTCAAATTGAAACCGTAGCTAAATTTACAACGCCCTAAAAATACTCCATATAAAAATTGTAACGAATCGCCCTCTTTCCTATTGCCTCAATTCTAGAGGTTCCCTCTTGTTCTGCTTCATAACTTGCTTTGATCCCGTTTTTTCGTGGAGAACCTTTAGAGTTCAACCAGAACCACAAAGGTGGGAGGGCTAGAGGCAGAGGTGAAAAGCTCACCAGGAAAGTCACGTGGGGACTTCCAAACCCGGGGAAGACACATTTCTGGATGTCTCCAAATTGAGTAGACAGCAAAATTGTATGGTTCTTTGTAGGGAACCTTGAAAATTGTTTCTCCAGAATTTATCATAATTATAACATGCTCTACACCATAATGTAGAAAGACTATTATGGTGATCATCTTTCCTTCTCCTCCAACAAAGTACCCTCTGCCTCTTAGGACCTCGCATGGACTAGCTCAGTTCATTCCATGAGAAAACCTCAGCCTGTTCCCTCCTCATTACTATTACTATGGGGTAATAGTATGAAGTGCAGTGGACTCAGAACCAAAAGTTCCAATCCTGACTCTGCTACTTCCTAAGCTTTGTGACCTTGTTCTAGTTGCATGCTTTAGCTTCTTCCTTATTTCTCTAGATTCTCTCTCTCTCTCTCTCTCTCTCTCTCTCTCTCTCTCTCTCTCTCTCTCTCTCTCTCTCTCACACACACACACACACACACACACCTCTGGATAGTGAGTGGAGAACGTGGATCATCACGTTATCCTTTTATTATAAGGGAAAGAAGTCACCCTTAGTTTCTTTTGTAAGACAGGTGGATGAGGTGAGACAGAGCTGATTGTGAGGTACTGGGTTTTGTGTTTTTCCCCCTACTGCATTAAATATTATTATGCCATGAATGCTGTCCTTCGCAGTAGGTACCATGGTCCCTTATGCCCAGTTAATGGTTCAGCTCCTCAGGAGGAGATGATGGTGAGAGCCAGTATAGCAGTCAAGTTCTAAAGACAGAAGTTAGGAAATTCTTGCTCAGACCGCAAGTCAAATATAATAAATTAAACTGTCCTGGTTCTTAGCACAGGACCAAAGTGTGCCAGAGCTTTCTCCTTGGAGAGAGCTGTGGATTTACTCTCGTGTCCATCCTGTAAAACCCAGCTGCTTCTCAAGGCCTTCTCAACTGACCCACCCAGTTGAAGTTAGCAACCCTCACCTCCCAGTGTTGTATTCACCCCTGCATAAGCACTTACTGTGTTTCATTATAATCCATTTAGTGTGGGTCTGTCACCCCCACTACACTTTGAGGTCCTCAGAGATTTTTAATTTTTGATTCCCCAGCATTTACCACAACACCTCACGGTAGGAGCAAAACAAATATCTGTATCCCCATACTTATTGAATCTACAGGCTCCAGGAGAAAACGGGTGTGTTGCAATCAGTGGGGACTCTGAAACCTCTCACCCAGAGGCTCTCCAATGGGTGTGTCTAAATTCAGACACAACATCTGGGCTTCCCTGCCAGTTCCCTAGAATGCTTTTGTGGACCTGCCACCCAAGATGTTCAAAATAGGGAGGTGGAGAGATTACACACCAGAAGCAGGGGCCAGGGTCATCGATGAATCAAAATGCTGAATCAGTTTTCACTAATGGCCCTTGGTCCCCTATTCCTATCAACCTGAGAGAAAGAAGTGTTCATCAAATCAAATCATTTATTTCTGGCACAGAAATTTATTTTGTAGTTAGTTGTGGAAGAAAACCATTAGCAAGCTGGTTTTTTATATAATAGAATGATCAAAAATATTTAAAGTATTTGAAGGCTTTTGCATAGTGTTCTGATATGAAACATTGCCAAGAATGTGCAAGTTAAAAGAAATGAAGAAAAAACATTTGGGAGGAGAAACATGTCCCTGATTCTACAAGCTCACACAATTTAGAGAAGTGCCCAACAGGTACTCTGTTGGAGCCTATTTATTCTAATTTTAGACACATTTCAAATGGGTGTGGTTTGGTTAAATGTTCCCCAGGCCACACAGTAAGTCAGAGGTAGCAAATTAGATAAGAGTTAGAGACAGGCTCTCTGACATATCAAAAAGTGACAACTGGCAGCCTGACCATGAGTAGAGACTGAAAAACCTATAAAAAGCAGATATGAGAACTCAAAAAGAATGTAATGTGGGTGCCAATACTTCTAGACGACATGCATAGTGCAGAAGTGGTGTTTATAATGATGACCCTGAATTGAGAAAGGTTAACTATGTATAGGGTATTTTTTCTAAGACATCTGTAAGACATCTTAGAGGACATGTGTAACACATTTTAGTAAGCTTTCCACCAAAAGAAGAAGAAGAAAAGGAAAGATGAACAATGTTGGCACTTGAACAGAGAAGCTTCAGTGTTCTGAACCATTGTTTCACGGGGCACATATCATTCATTCCCTGAGGCCAGATAAATAGGGGTCACGGAGTTGAGAATTTTTAAATATCAACTTTTAAAATGGTATAGTTTTACATTTGTTTGGAGGTTTCAATGTGGAATCACTGAATAAGTACAAGAAACCCAATTTTAAAACAAATGTCCAACTCCTTTCTAATATATAAATGTAAAATTAATTGGTATAATATTTTATGTAAAAATCATTATTGACTCAAGCTTCATATTCGTCTTAAATTGAAAACTCGCACGTACTACAAATGATTTTGGCTAAAATTTTACCACTGCAGGTACAGAACCCTCCTTAGTGAATTATAATGACTCATCTTTTAATTCATTAAAATAAATCAATGACCAAAATAACATTCTCCAGATACAGTATTATTTTGCAACTCTGTCTTAACTTTATCTTATAACCATGTTAGTATGTAGGCATTTTGACTGAGTAATTGGTCTATACATTCAGTCCAACCCTAATGTTTTTTAGTGTACCAAATTTATATAAACATTAAAACATTTTATTATCCTGATTTACTTTGAATCTTTTTTTGGTTATGAAACTAATAGTACAATATGGTATTAACATGTAGCTCAAAATATTTAAAATGCAGCTTTTTTTCATTGTTTTGGTTTAGATGGATAAAATATTTTTCTAAAGTTCAATAAACTACAACCCTCAAAAATCCGTTTGTTTAATATTAATTTTCCTTTGTTCTGTGGTTTATTCATGACGTTTCGTGAATGCTACCCAATCAAGTTCAGTTTACTTGGTTCAAGACGCTGTGGGAAGTAGTTCACTGACAGGGAGAATACAATAGATCTGGCCTCTAGTGCTGGCTCCAGGTAGCTATGTGACCTTGGGAAGATGTTTAATGTATCTGAACTTCATTTCCCTCATACTGTAAAATGCAGGAGGGTTGGACAAGCTGATATCTGAGGTTCCTTCTGACTTCACTTTGTATGACTTGCAGTTCTGTTGCCATAAAGTCAGCAGAGGGAGCACTTTTTCTACATCTCATAAATTTTGACTATTATTTGAACATCTTTCAAAAATCAGGGGGTTTGTGAAGAAAATTATTGAAACTAAAAAATGGACAATCCTTCAGTTTGTATGAAAACACAGATCTGATTATAAATCTGAGAAAAGTCTAGAAATAATGATTTCTGTTCTTTGAATTCCATGATAAAAAGTCCCACAAGAGAATTATTTTATAAAGGTTAAGGAGCTAAAACACACTGAGAAATTAAGCACCCCTCAGTGGTAGTATATTTATATGGGACCCAGTGAAAGAGAAACACACCAGACCATACAACAGAGGCTATCCAGTGTCAAAGGTGAAAAGTGAAAAATTCATCAATCATAAAAACATTACTAAATTGAGTCTAACATAAACAACCACAGAAGTGATTGGGAGGTTTTGCACTTTTCACTAAGCTACATTGGGAAAAAGCAGGTAGATAGCCAGAGCCTGGAGGCTTGCAAGAGACTGGAAATGTGTGATATCAAGCCAATGACAAATAAAGTCATATGTCTGAGAACCTGAATGTCTTTCATCCCTATATTCATAGATATCTTAAAATTAATGGAACATCCATTATGCCTTTTTAATTATTAGACAATTTCATATAGTATATTAAAGTTTTTATTCCTTAGTAAGAATTTTAAGATCACAAAATAATGTGGCAATATTTAGGTAATAGAATTTGTGGAGTGTTGAAAATACTAGAATATAAAGATAATTTCTAGTTTATCTTCACATACTAAACTTTTCTAAACCAGCTGGTTTCTTGCAGACAGTATTTATTTATTTTTTAAAATAATTTAAAACAGCATAAGCTTGTACCAAGCATAAGCATTGTAACAAAAGTGCAACTTTTCAGCAAATCCTCCCCAAAAGATATCTGAACTCAAAATATCATTAGCACATATTTTCTCCCTACAAAAATAGCATGTCAGACATCATTAATTGGATGTATTAACAACTATGTACATAAGAGCCACCTTGTAGGCTAAAAGTTTAACGTTGTTTAAACACAGCGTTTGAGGCAAACAGTAGCAACAGCAGCAGCAAATGCACCAAACTGACTAAAAGACCCAGATATTTTCTTCACTCATAATCAGACTGTTGTGTCTCACCCCTTACATAACATTCAAGTGAGATTTCTCACAGTGCTACCTTGGCAACAAACTAAAAATATCTAGACAAGGTCTTGGTTTAAGCCTTATTTAAAAAAAAAAAAAAAGAAGCTTTCTTTGTGATTATCTTGTATCTGGTTTGGTCTCCAGAAAATACACAGACTTGACGATAGGAAGGCCTCGCTTTACAGAATTTCCAATCAAAACTGAGTAGTTTAATGCTTTCCTCCACTTTTGTGATTTAACAGAATGTAGGATAAAATCAGTTTGGACTTGTTTTCTTTTTTTAAGTTCAGTGCACATTCTTTTTGTTTTTTACAGCAAGATTATAAAAACATAGGAACATGATGGATTAAATAATTGCAGGGTGGGAATAGATGCAATAAAAACATACATATATATGTTATATATATGTATATATATAACGTATATATATATTACATATATATTACATATATATGTATATGTATATGTAATGAAATTGATTCGTGGTCAATTTCTCAATAAAGTGCCAGCAAATGTACTAATAATTCTGGCCTTCCTCATCCATGTCCTTGCCCCACTTAGTTCTGACGAGGGCCTAACTCGGTGTCTCTCTAATCAAGTGCAACTAAGGGATACCATTCAAACCACTTCAGAATAGATTACAGTGTGAGCCACCGCATCCGCTCTTCAACTGAAAAATTATGCCTTTTAAAGACCTGAACATTATAAAATACTGAAGAGTAAATCCATTTCTAAAAGATCCTCCTTCTGTTCGAGGAAAGCCTCCTGAAGCAGGCAGGACAGCTTTGAGTCATTGACCTGACCTGCTGTTCGACGTCAACTCCTCCGCCACCTTTCCCCTACCCTGGTTCAATTAGCTCACCCACAGACCAGATCCTTCTTACTTCCTCGAGAATTAGGTTCTATATTTTAAAAGATAATGGAACATGGTCTAAAGGGCGACAAAACTTATTTTGGGGAGTTCTTTAAATAAAAAAGATTCAATATCCAGCGCGGAGGTTCTTTTACAGCTGGTGGGGGATGAAAGGGATGCTAGTTGTATGGAGGTTGGGGTGGTGAGGGATGAGCAAAACAGGAACTCCAAATGTACACAAAACACCTGTTTTTTTGTTTTGTTTTTAAAGCCTGTCGTGCATCTATTACACTTCCTCCCTTAAAAAACGTTAAGGGTGTTTTATTAATATTATTATTCCTCGTGAACCTTCGTCCTTTCTAAAAAAAGGGGCTCAAGGTTTCAGGGGTTTTCCTTTCCTGGCTGCAAGGCATCGTCCTGAGCAGAGCTCTCCTGGTTCGCGTGCTCACGGGGGCCGGCGAAGGGCAGGTGGGTGCGGCCGTGCGGGTGCGGCGGGTGCAGTGCCCCAGGGGGCGCCACCTCGTGTGGCAGGAGGGTCGCGGCGGCGGCGGAGCCAGCCTTCTCGGGAGGGGGCGACAACACGGAGGACAGGCAGGGGAAGGCGGCGGCGGCTGCGGCTGCTGCTGCTGCGGCGGCGGCAGCCGGGGCGGGGATGCCGGGGTATAGCAGCGGGAACGGGGCGGCGGCCGCTGCCGGGTACAGGTACTTCTCCAGGCCGCTCTTGTCCAGGAAGGGCTGCACGTAGGCGGCGGCCGCGGAAGGCGACAGGAAGTAGAAGGGCAGGCAAAAGGGGGCCGCGGCGGCCGCCGGCTGCGCGAAGGGCGCGCCTCCGCCGAACGCCACCAGCGAACTGAGTAGGGCAGCGTCTGGTCTCAGCAGAGCGGCCGCGGCAGCGGGGTCGGGCCCCAGGAGCGCGGCAGCCGCCGCCGCCGCGCCACCCCCTGGGCCTCCGCGGGATTCCAGCCTCATCCTCTTGGGCGCCGGCGAGTCCTCCCCGGGGGGCTCCTGCTTGATCGTGACGCGGTTCGCCCCCGCACCTTTGCCCTTCTCGCGGTCCGGCCGGGCCTCGGCCTCGCCGCCGTAGCCGCTGTCGGTGTCCGTGTCGTTCTCGGCGGCAAGCTCGGCGCTGGGCTGAGTCCGCTGGATGACCGGCACGCAGTGGGCGAGGGGCTCCACCTTCTGCCCAGCGCGCTCCAGGCAGGGGGCGGCCGCGGACCCGGTGGGGGCCGCGGCCGAGGGCGCGCCCGTGCCTTTGCTCAGAGGGACCTGTTGAGTCAACAGCTGGGGGGTAGGCAAGAACTGAGTGGCCACAGCGTGCAAGTGGTTGATCAGCTGGACACACCGCGGCTCCCTGGGCGTCCAGCTCTCAAACCGGGAGAGGTATTGCAAGACTTCTTTGGCGCATGTTTGAAATCCCGAGTGGAACACATCCAAGTCGGACTGAATGGGAGATTTCAGAGATCGCTCCCCTAGGATGAGGAGGGGGGTGGGGGTGGGAAACAGAGGAATGGAGGCAAGGAAAAAAAA